CCCCCCCCCCCTCTTAGGCGCACTTCGTACTTACATAGAGTTGTAACCATTGATATTGAACTTGTAAGAAATAATGGACACATTTATTATGATCCACCTAATAAATTGGTGAGGCATACCAACCTCTTTCATAATACATTCCAGAGCATCCCAATTTACAATATCATATGCCTTATGGAGGTCTATTTACATCATACAACGAGGAGTACCACCCTTTCTAGAGTAACCCTTAATCAACTCATAAGCCAAAAGAATATGATTATGAATTTGTTGACCGGGGAAAAAAATAGTTTGGCTTTAACTGGTGATACTACCCATAACCTTTCCCATCCTAGCAGTGATAATTTGAGATAATTTTATACACAGTGGTACATCCCGCAATAGGTCGATAGTCCTTAATAGATTTAGCCCCATCACCTTTAGGAATGAGATACACTAAGGTACAATTGAACACCTTATATATCCTCTTATTCTCAAAGAAATCTCTGACAACAACAACCACATCCTCTTTTACAATATTCCAGCTAGTTTTGAAAAATATGGCACCAAACCCATCAACTCCTGAGCTTTTTAGATCACTTATATCATTCAAAGCTTTAACAATCTCTTGCTCATTTATGGGGCTACGAGACTCTCCCTCTGCTTCATGCTAAGCTGAGGTCCCTCCCTCATGACCACCATAATATTAATATGTTGCACAGTGCTATCTTTAGTCCCCATTAATCTTTCATAGAAATTTAAAACATCGACCTCAATATCACATTGTGAGGTAATTATCATATCGTCCGCTTTGTACATCATATTCATATTCCTAGCATATTTTTTAGCTTTAATAGTTGCATGGAAATAAGAATAATTTTCATCCCCCAAACGAAGCCAATCAATTTTGAATTTTCGCTTGAGCATCTTCTCTTCAAGATCATTCCATTTAATAATATCCTCTGTACATCTCTTAATTACCTCAATCTTATTATTGTTCATCCTATCACACATAAGTTCTTATTGGGCATTGAGAATATCTTGTCTAGCCTTCTTGATATTTTGTTGAATGTGTTGGAGAGGCCTACCGAGTTTCCTTAAGATTGGTTGTAGCCTCTTCAATTTTTTCCATAATACATACATCGGTCTTCCATTCATAGGTTCTTGCCAACTATTCAAAACACTCTTATGGTATTCATCCAATTTCACTATACAGTTTAAAAAATTGAATTGAAATTTTCTGTTTCCAGTCTTTCTCGGATGTGTCAAACAAAGTAGTGAATGGTCAAATACCCTAGGAGGCAATACTTGAAGAGCCTTATCGATATTGTCTTGAAGCCACTCCATGTTCCCCAAGACCTGTCGATTCTAGAATAAATAATCTCATCGGTTTGTTTATTCGACCACGTGTAATAGTCACCCGCACTTTCTATCTCAAACAATCCAATTTTGCTCATCATATTCGACCACGTACCTCAGTGGCCAATTTACCACCAATTATGTCTTTAGCTTTAAGAATATTATTAAAATTACCAAACAAAACCCATTATTATAAAGATATTATAAGTATCAATAAATTTTTCACTAGTCACCAAATTCTGAAGTCACTTAATGTTTTCCTCTTTAAACAGACAATTTTGAAACTGTGTCAAAAAATTTTTGATTGTGATCAATGTTATTAAAAGAAATATGCTTTAGCATATTTCAAGATAAAATTAAATATAAAATAAATTTAATTATTCACTAAATAAGTAACATTTAATTAAAATTGTTTTTTTACAACAAAAAAAAAAGAAGATTAATTCATATCATTAATAATAATATTTTGAATATACAATGAAATTGTAAAAACTAATAAGAGATGGAGTCACTCGTGCTAGAGCATGAACAACTTCATTAACTTATCTTCTAATAAACTTAACATAAAAGTTCCTAAAAAATAGAGTCATCAACCGATTACATTCTATAATAATAGCACCAAAATTCAAATCATTTGGTTTCAGAATATTCATATTATCCACAGCACGTTTAGCATCTAACTTGAAATCCATATTATCATACTCCTGATCATGAACCCAACTTCAATGCAAGGCGAAAACCATTCTATCCAGACTGCAACAAAGTGCCACGCGTCATCTGATCCTTGCTATAGAAGCCCTGATGCCTGAATGGCCTCCTTGATGTGAAGAATGAAGCCATTGTAGAATCACCAATCGCACTTGCCCATCATTAGGAATGACCAGCTTCTGTTTCCTATACAGTAAATTGTCCAAAACAGAGAAATGGGGATGCAAGGTTGGGTTAGCGAGAACCTGCAGCTTGAGGTCATGCAAAGCTGAATCTTGTTCATAGCTTTTAAGGAGAGAGTCCCATAACTCAGAAGAAATAGAAGAGACGGTCAATTGTAAAACTTCACCGTGCAAGGCTCTCGACAAGGCATCTGCAGTCACATTATCCTTACCCTTCTTATACAAAATTTCATAAGAAAGGCCCATGAGCTTAGTGACCCATCTATATTGGGCTGGAGTCGATAGGCGTTGCTCCAATAGGTACTTCAAACTATGTTGGTCAGTAAGAATTGTAAATGTGTTCAAAGAAAGATATTGGTGCCATTTAGAGACTGCATGAACCAATGCTAATAATTCCCTGTCATAAACTGACAACAACCTGTTTTTAGGAGACAAAACCTTGCTAATAAAAGCCACGGGGTGCCTGTCCTGCATTAGCACAGCCCCAATTCCAGTGCCTGAAGCATCTGTTTCAACGACAAATGGCTTTTGCATATTAGGAATGGCCAACATCGGAGAATTACTCAAAGCATCTTTCAATGTAGTGAAGGTGGCGTGCGTCTCTTGTGTCCAATGGAAAGAATCTCGCTTGAGTAAATCAGTAAGAGGAGAAGCAATGATGTTGTAACCTTTAATGAACCGCCTGTAGTAACCCGTCAATCCTAAAAATCCCCTCAATTGCTTAACAGTTTGAGGCACCGGCCAATCTGTCACAGCTTGAACTTTAATTGGGTCAGTAGTAACTCCCATAGGTGTAATGAAATGACCCAAGTATTCGATCCGTGTCGTGAAAAATGCACATTTACTTCTCTTAACATAGAAGTTGTGAGCTTTGAGGATTTGAAACACTTGTCGCAGATGATCCACGTGTGCCTCCAAAGATGGGATATACACTAGTATGTCATCAAAGAAAATAAGAACACATTTTCTCAATAAACCAGAAAAAATAGTGTTCATTGTTCCTTGAAAAGTAGCTGGTGCATTGGACAAGCCGAAAGGCATCACCACATATTCATACTGCCCCCCATGAGTTTGAAACGTTGTCTTTGGTACGTCCTCCGTTTTCATCCTTATTTGATGATATCCATCCCTAAGATCCAGTTTAGAAAACACCATTGCCCCACCTAATTCATCCAATAAGTCCTCCACCAAAGGAATTGGGAATTTAGCCTTCACCGTCATTTCGCTCAACCGCCTATAATCTACACACATTCGCCAACTCCCATCTTTCTTTTTGACCAAGACAACTGGAGAAGCAAAAGGGGAAGAGCTTGGTTGAATTACTCCCGAATCCAAGAGCTCTCTAACCATGCCATCAATGACATCCTTTTGAGCTGGGGAGTATCTATAAGGTCTTAAACTAACCGGGTTAGAACCCTCCTTTAGCATAATTTGATGATCATGAATACCTCTAAAGGGTGGCAGCTGAGTAGGTGTTTCAAAGACCTCTTGGAACTCATGTAAAACAGATTCTCTATGAGCCATCATCACCTGATCCTGTAGCTCCTCAGTGGTCACTGAACAACACATTGCCTATGTGGAACAAGGTAGCAATTGTAGCATATAACAGAAACTGTCTTCAACCATTAACTGATGCAATTTAGAAGCTGAAACTACGCTACTTTTAATTTCTTTAACAACCTGCAACTTCACCGGCATACCATTAATAGAAAATTCCATAGCCATATTGGTAAAATCCCAGTGGATGACTCCCCATTGCCTTAACCATTGCATGCCCAATATAATATCACAACTGGACAATGGTATTGCAATAGCATTAGTAAGAAAATCATACCCTTGAAGCTTTAACCGGATGCCTTCACACCATCATGTACCTTGTATAAGACCGCCATCAGCTACAGTTATCCGCAAGGGATGCATAGGTTGTAGAGTATTGAGCCCCTCTTTACATAATTTTTGGTTGATGAAATTATGCGTGCTGCCTGTGTCTATGAGTACATGAACTCTCTTTTTGCCCATCCATCATATCAATCTCATCATAGGATGAGAAGAGTCTCCCTGAATGGCATTAAGTGAAACAGTAGGGTCAACACCTTGAATAGGATCATTAGACATTTCCTCAGGAACAGAATCAGCTCCCATTGTGTCCAATTGGTTTTCCTCCCCAACCTCCATAAGAAAAACTTGCATTTTCTTCCTCTGAGGGCAATCATGTCCAGGAAAGAATTTGTCATGACAGAAAAAACACAAGTTTTGAGCCCTATATTCCTCCATTTCTTTCGGAGAAAGTTTCTTCTGAAACGTATATGCCGGCTTTCCCAAAATGCTCTTTTGAGAACCTTCGATATTTCCTTTCTTCTCCTGAGGCATCAATTTCTTGTCAAAGGTGTGAGAAACTGTATTCTTCTTCTCACTCCAAGAACCTTGTGTTCGATTTGCAGACCCCAACCGTTTCTGTAACAATTCCAAACTTCGTTCTTGCAACTTTTCCATACGAGTAGCTTCCAACACCGTTCGCGGAGCGAACATCTTCACACCATTACACAATTCCTGTTGAAGGCCTCCCAAATAGCATTGGAGCTTTTGAGATTCCGTCAACGCTGTTCTACCCACAAGATTGTCAAACGATTCCTGATACGCCTCCAGCGAACCAGTATGTACCAATTTCTTGAGTTCTTCCATAGGCGAATCGAACTCGAGGCTAAATCGCATCTTCAATGCCTCGGTGAAATTCTGCCATGTCAATCGGCCATTCGATCCCTGTTCTAGACTTTAGAACCAACGAAAAGAGTTATCATCAAGAGCGATACTCGCAACCGAGACCTTGTCCCCTTCTTGCGTTCCATCCAACAAAAAAAAACGTTCACATTTTGCAATCCAAGATTCGACATCGTCGCGAGTGAATTTTGGGAAATCCAGACGCGTTAATCGCGTTGCTGGTCGAGTTGCTCTGTCACCGTTGCCACCATGGCGACGCGCCGCCGTTAACTCCGCCATTTGCAATCCAATTCCACGCATGGTTTCTTGCACATTGGTGAATTGAGTTTCGAAACGGTTCTCCAATTCACGAATTTGCCTCGTGATACATGGCTCCACCGCCGTCATTATGCGTTCCTCTGCCTCACGAATGGCGTTCTGCATTCGCGTCGCTTCTGCAATGAATGATGTGGCCGGGGTCGACAGGCTCTAGATACCAATGATAGAGGAGAGAGGGAGAATATATATATATATATATATATATATATATATATATATAGAGAGAGAGAGAGAGAGAGAACAGAAAGTAGAGATGAGAAAAGAGTATTTTTATTTATTCAACAAAAGCATACATTGGATGGTTATTTTCTAACTATATATAACTTTCTAAGCAGTTATAACAACCCAATACAACTAATAACAGCTGTATACACTAATACATGCATCATCATCCCTAATAGATGCACATATATCTACCTTATTCTGAGAGTAGGACGCGTCAATTTTGCAGTTTAGGCGATCCGATGGTTTACTCCACCCGGTAACGGCTGTCAAAGGATTGGGACGATAACTCTTTTCTCACCAAAAAACTAAATTACAACTCATAAAACTTACTCTTGACATTTAACTTATTTTGAAGGAAACTCTAACATTAAAATATCATCATCATCATCATTACTTTCCTCAATTCTCATTTTTTTGGCAGGCCTAGTAGCATCACTTTTTGGTATCTGAATAAAAATATCTGACTTAACTCCATTTTCAGCATTAACAATAGATCCATTATTTTCCACACGGTATACCAAACCACTTCCATTAGGATCAGCATCAATGAAAACCGTTGTATTCTCATCAATTTCTTCCCTTATAAGCATCTTAGATAGCTCTACCACCACCTTCTTCTCAATCCACCTTCTAATTGGTCTACCACCATACACCTATATCACAACAGCAATCAAAACTCGAGTTAGTAGTAAAAACCAAAATAACTTCATAACACTATGCAGACAAAGTGGTATAATATTAATAACCACTAGAAACTCAAACACACAATAGAGAACACTCTGGTGATGACATCCAACCTAACAATATCGGCTTCAGCCAGTTGAACTAGTTAGTAACAATATAACATGTCACTATATAGATCAAAAAACACTTACAGGGTCATAGCTCTGAGCAAGTATATAATCTATTGCTGCATCTGTAACTGCCAATGCAATTCCTTTCTCAGCAAGACGACTAGCTACATCCTTCATTTGCAACCTTGCAACCTTCCTCAATTGATCGTGAGAAAGAGGATCGAATACAACTATCTCGTCCAATCGGTTCAACAATTCTGGCCGGAAATGCTTTTTTACTTCCTGCATTACTTGCTCTTGAGCAACTTCCATGGTACACTTTCCTGAAAGTCCTTTTAGGAGATGCTCGGCGCCAAGGTTTGAGGTCATGATAATGATTGTGTTCTTAAAATCAACAGTTTTGCCTTGTCCATCGGTTAATCTCCCATCATCTAAGACTTGAAGAAGAGTGTTGAATACAGATGTATGTGCTTTCTCCACTTCATCAAAAAGTAATACACTGTATGGTCTTCTCCTTACAGCTTCAGTCAATTGTCCACCTTCCTCATGTCCAACATATCTGAAAAATTCAATTCATGTCAATTTTGGCTTTTAATATCTATCAAGCATTGACACAGACACAGACATTGGACATGACACACTGACACTGACATGTCGCCACCAATAATAATTTGAAAAAATAAATAATTCAAAAAGAGACACGCCTTTTCCAGAGGTGTTGGTTATACAAAGTTTACTATAATCATCAAATTCAGTTCCTAGTTCAAGAGTTGTCAGTTCAGTGGTAACAACTTCACATTGTAATCTCGAAGAACAGAGTTGAATTTCATCTGGAACGGTTGTAAAATGGTCATTAGTGCCGGTGCTATTAACAATAACTTACCCTGGTGGTGCACCAATCAATCTTGATACAGAGTGTTGTTCCATGTATTCCGACATGTCCATCCGCACTAACTGATTTTCATTATCAAAGAATTGTTCAGCAAGAGCTTTAGCAAGTTCTGTTTTACCAACACCGGTTGGACCGAGGAATAGGAAGCAACCAGTTGGTTGTTGAGGTCTTCCTAAACCAGCTCTTGATTTCAACACAGCATCAGCAACAGCATTAACTGCTTGGTCTTGTCCCACAACTCTATTGTGCAATCTGTCACCAAGTCCAACTAACCTTTCTTTCTCATTTTGGCCGAGCCGAGTCACGGGTATACCGGTCCATCGGCTAACAACCTCAGCTATTTGATCTGGTCCAACAGTTTCTGTCAACATCAAACTCTCATCTGTGTTCCCATCAGTGCTCCCTTCAAGTTTTTTTATTGCATTGTCCACCTCATCGATTGCCCCATATCGTAGGTCTGCAGCTCTTGCTAGATCATACCGCCTCTCAGCCTCCTCTAGTGACATGATAAGCTTTTCACGTTTCTGCTTCAGCCTTCGAATCTCATCAATCCTCTCTTTCTCTTTTGTATACTTCATGATCAGAGGCTGAAGCTTGTCTCTTATGTCGTCAAGCTCTTCCCGCACCTATAAATAATATCAACAATTAGAACCGTCGAAATAACACAAAAGAAAATTAAAACAAAAGTCAATATGAAAAAAATACACAATACATCATCAATATTGATGCTACCATACTTACATCTGCGTGACGAGCTTTGCTAGCTTTGTCATTCTCTTTCTCCAATGCATGAAGTTCAACTTCGAGTTGCATTCTCTTCCTTTCAAGGATGTCAATTTCCTCTGGTTGACTATCAAGTTGAACTCTAACATTTGCACAAGCCTCATCGACTAAATCAATTGCTTTATCAGGAAGATAGCGCCCTTAACAAATAAAAAACACAAACACATCGCCATGTTACCAATACCATCCACATTCAACACAGATCATTAATATCAAAAGAAACAAATATCAAGAGAGTACACAGAGCACACGCACCAGATATGTACCGACTAGACAACTGAGCTGCAATAACTATTGCGCGGTCTTGAATTCTAACACCATGATGGCCCTCGTATTTCTCTTTTAATCCGCGGAGAATACTAATAGCATCCGGCACGCTAGGTTCAGCAACATAAACCTGTTGAAACCTCCTTTCAAATGCTGCATCCTTTTCCACATATTTTCTATATTCATGGAGAGTTGTTGCCCCAATGCATCTAAGTTGGCCACGAGCAAGCATAGGCTTGAAAAGATTGGCAGCATCCATCGCTCCATCAGTTCGACCAGCGCCAAGAACAAGATGAATTTCATCGATGAAAAGAATAACCTTCCCTTCAGCATCTTCCACTTCTTTCAAAACCGCCTTCAACCTCTCTTCAAATTCTCCCATATACTTAGCACCAGCAACTAATGCGCCCATATCCAAAGCAACTAACTTAACATCGGCCAAATTGCTCGGAACATCTCTTTTAACTATTCTCTGAGCCAGTCCTTCAACAACAGCTGTTTTTCCAACACCCGGCTCACCGATAAGAACCGGATTATTCTTAGTCCTTCTTGACAAAATCCTCACAACTCTTCTTATCTCTTCATCGCGTCCAATAACAGGATCAAGTTTCCCCGCTTGTTCAACCAAGTCTCTACCATAAATTTTCAAAGCATGAAAATTCATGTCAGCAGAAGCGCTATTGACTTTCTTCTCTTCTTTACCATCGCCGCGAACCATTTCAACCTCCATTTTAACCCTAGAAACATCCACACCAGATTGTTTCAACAAGAAACCAATTTGATAATCCTCAACAATTTCCAATAACAACAAATCAACCCCTAAATGAGTGTCGCCGCACAACTTCTGTGCCGCCTGTGCTCTCCTAATGAGTTTAACAATTGAAGAACTAGCCGGTATATCATCTGGTGGAGGAGATTGAGTAGCCAATTTCTTCAATTCTTGTTTCAAAACTTTTCCCACGGCGTGTGAATGTTCTTCACCACCAACATTGGAAATTGCTTGGAAAAATATACCATTGGTATCAGAAATCAAAGTTGATGCAAGGTGTAGCGGAATCAACTGAGCATGTCCTAAACTCTTTGCAAGTTCATGTGCACCAGCAAGAGATTCGTTTGTTTTGTAAGTAAAAGTTTCTGTATTCATTTTTAACCTGCATTACAAAAAAAAACTAAAATAACCATAGAATCTTTTATTTAATAGCAAATCAAAATACTATTAATTAGCAGCAGGGTTTTCAAAAACGATCGCGATCGCAGTCGCGTCGTGGTCGCATAAAAGCTTTTGCAATTTCGGTCGGAGTCACGACACTCGCTGCGATCGTCGCAGTGTGAATTAACCATGTTTTTTAATATAAAAACGGTGATAAAGGTATATGGTATAACGACAATTAAGCATGGTGAGAACCCTACTTGACTAACAGCTTTTCTTCATGATGCATAAGATATAAATTTTCAATGAGAAAAATATAACAAGAGTTGAACGTACCTTTGGTAGAAGAAAGCGAAACAGAAAAGAAATTTTCAGAAAGCAAGAGAGAGTGAAAGACGATTTATGGGAATGAATGATGAAGCAGAAAAGCTCTAAGGGTGCACTTTTTGTACACGTCTTTCGTTTTTCTTTCCGTTTTGAGAGGAGTTACCAAATCATCCATTTAAGAAAGAAAAAAAAACTCTATACTTTTTCCCCGAAATGGATCACCTTATAGCAAGTGCGTATGACAGAGTGTGTATTGATCTGACAAGACATGGATTGTCTGAGATATTTTTTTCATTACGAAGTGGTCCAGCTAAAAACAGTGCCCCTGCAAATAGAACATGAGTCAGGGTAGTGCCCCTGCACTCAATAGAGACATGCAGGGCATCATTATGATTTCTTCCTTTAGACGTCAAATCGGCATTGGAGAAACCAAGTCCATTGTCAGCAGTCAGACTAGCAACACAGTTCTCGAATTGGTCAGCAGAAGTCTCTTGTGGCACATGAGTCGACTTCAGGAACTTCACCAAAGCCTTAACATGGGATTCGAAGCATAATAACAAGGCAATCATTGAAATTTTTGAGGGTGTCTGCCCCAATTATTCCACAACATTATAGTTACTTTTTTGTATGATTTTCAAAATTTCCTCCATTTCTCGTTTGGAGGCTTCAGGAATGGCTTCTTTGGGTGTCTCCGTCCGGGCAGGCTCAACCAATACTTCTTTGCCCTGAGTCCCAGCTAACTCAGTAGCAGGAATAACAACATGAGAAATAGGTGTTTTAGCAAGAATAACCAAAGGAGTGGCAACAACCTTTGGGGAGATTTCAGGAGATAAAATCCTTCTGCTTCTGGTAATTTTACTGGTCCCAACAATGTTGTCGATGTTAGGATCAGTATCTTTAGTAACTTCATTCTTAATGGTCAGGAGGTCCTGCTTGACGCCATGATAATAAACGCCAGCTCCATAATTCCAAGGAATAGCTTTGCCGGAGGAATATGGTATGGGCCCTGGAAAGGTGATAATTAAAGGAGCAACCTTAGGAGTGGGTGTAATTCTAACAGGTCTTTTGGAGGAGGCCCTGGGAGGATTGTCGGAAATGGTAATAATTGATATATCTTCACACAGACTTCTCGTAGAGGGAGTCTTCTTAAACAGAATTTCCTTGTTGTCCATCAGGCGTTGGACACCTATCTTCAACAACAAGCAACCATTGGTTAGAGACGCACACAAGTGGCAACCTTCACCACAACTCGGAAATAAACCGGCTCGTAAGATATTCTTCTTAACAATCGAAAGAGGAGTAGCTAGTTCATCAACAGAAGAAACAAACAGGTCTTCGCCAACGGCATTAACACTCTGACCATGCTTGGGCATTGGTGCAGTTATCATATTAGGGGTCTCTGAAGGGTCAAATTAAATCTCCTTTGCCTCAATAAGATCCTGAACTTTATTCTTCAGATCCCAACAATCATTTGTATCATGCCCTGGACTCTTATAGTGGTAGGCACACCGAGCATTTGGATTATAATGGGGAGATATAGTGTTTGGATTTTGAGGAGGCTCCTTCAGAGTGACCAGATTAGACTTCAACAAGTGTGGCAAAACCTGAGATAAGGACATGTTAAGCCGGGTGAACTGTCTTCTAGGCGCATCCTGCTTGTGCTGATTATTTTATCGTTGAGTTAAGACAGGGTTGGAGATCATTACAGCTTCCACCGTTGGACGGTGTTCAGCTTTGCTTTGATTCTTTTGACCATAGGCAACACTTACTTCTTTCTTCCTAGATAATGGTTTCTTTATTGTACTTGAAGACGCATCTCTCTGAATCTTACCGCTCTTGATACCAGCTTCTACTCTTTCACCTGTCAATATCAAATCGGTGAACCCGGCTGAAGAGCTCTCAATCATATGTTTGAAGAATGGGCCTGATAAAGTATCCAAGAACATATATACCAGCTCTCTATCAGACAGAGGAGGATGGACTCTTCCTGTAAGATCTCTTCATTTCTGGGCATAATCTTTGAAGCCCTCACTAGAACCCATAGACATTCTTTGAAGTTGTGTGCGGGTTGGAGCGATGTCAGAATTATATTGGTACTCCCTGTAGAAAGCAGCAGCCAGATCCTCCCAGTTGCAGATGTTGGTTCCCTCCAACTGATAGAACCATTCCAATTGAGTCCCTGGTAAACTTTCCTGGAAGAAATGCACCCACAAATTCCTATCAGCGATGTGAGGTTGGATGTTCCTGACATAAGACCTTAGATACAGCTTAGGACATGAAACTCTGTCATATTTAGCAAATGCGGGAACCTTTAACTTCATGAGAATGAACACTCCAGAAACCAAACCTAATTCTTCAAAATCCAGACCAGGTACTCTCTGAATTTCCATGGCATTGAGACGATCCTCCAGCCGTTTATATTTGTCATCAGCAGGAGGATATTGTTCTTCAGCATAGTCATCCTCTTCTTCATTAGACCTTAGATTGTGGTCCCCTTCTCTTGTCTTCTCTTCCTGATTGTCCCCCTCATTTGACGGGGTTGCGAATTCTAGAGCTCGCTTTGCTGGTTCTCTGAATCTCCTTCCCATATTCAGGACACCCACTGGTTTCTTTGTCTTTTTCTTCTTGTCTTTGATCATGAGAGCCTTCAGGTCTTCTTGTCCTTTAGCCAGAGCCAGGAACATCTGTTGGAATTGAGTATTTTGTGCTTAAAGATCTTCCATTGTTTGTTTGATATCCATCTTGCTGAAATAAACAGTAGAAAGATAAGAAAACTTGTTGTGGAAAACCTGTTTATGTTATGATGCATGAACATGCGTATGCAAATGATTTCAAGGACTTAGAAGATTTAAATTTGTTTAGACAAAAGAGAACAAACATTAATTGTATTAATGAGTTCAAATTGCTTACAACATGCCTCTTGGGCTTACAATGGAAGAAACAAAAATAATACAAAATAAACTTTCTAAAACAAAAAGAAATCAAGCTTCCCACAAGCGCATCCTCTTCAGTGCAATGTAGGCATTCAAACTCTGCTCTTCATGGAGTTATCTCGTGAGCTCCAGAACCTTTTTCTCGCTTGCGTAGAACTGGGTTTCAAAGGTGTCTCATTCCCCTTTGAGTTGAATCCAATATCTTTGCAAATCTTCAAGAGAAGTAGGCATATCAGGATAAAGGACATTATATGGAACATCTCCTTTGGCAACAGGCTCTGTGATGATTGGTAAGATGGCGGGGTAAGGCATTATGAGACTTTGAGCACGATTTCGTACCCACTTAAGGTAAGGATCAAGGGGGGTGGAATTATTATGTCTCAATGTCTTACTATCCACTTTGTTTATCATTCTCCAAGCTCGTATGAACCTTTAACGATAGCCTTGGTTGTCGCCCTCATAATCGAATACCAAACCTTGGATGAGTGCATCATGGGGACCATCTCTTCGTGCATACCCAAACTATCATAAATCCAAACAAGGGTTGTATGTAATACCTCCCCTAATGCCAAGCAGAGGGACATTATGGAATTCCCCATAATGGTCGATGATATTAATGTCCTCCAAGGATCGAGAACACCAATGAATATCAGAATGTGTGAGTGACATCATCCTTTGAGACCATGTCAAGCCTTGCTCATTCTTCAATGTTGATTGAGGTAGGTACGAAATAAACCACCTAGAGAGTAAGGGAATGCAACACAAAATAATACCTCTTTTATTCATGGTGCGAGTGTGGAAACAATGTAGAATGTCTCCAAGCAGGGTAGGTACGGGATTGCGAGAGAGAAAAACCTTGATGGCATTCACATCTATGAGTTGGTCTGGATTAAGAATTAGAACCTAACTATAGATTAGAAGGGCCAAGACATCTTCAAAAGCTTGAAAATCCATATCCTCCCAGAATGAACGAGCCTTCTCCAACAGAAACTTGGCTAAGAAACCCTTAACTCTAATTCTTGTCTCCCAATTTGCCATAATGTCAGACTTCTTCAAATGCAGGGCTTCGGCAATAACTTTAGGCTTTGGAGTCTCCTCTAAACCGATGAATGGTATTTGACCAAGCATAGGAACTCATAGCAACTGAGATAACTCTTCTAATGTAGGAACCAATTGGTAGTCAGGAAAGGTGAAGCAATGATGCATAAGATCAAAGAATTGGAAAAGCACACACATCATTTCTTCTTGCAAATTTGAGGTAGCTAAGTTGATAAGTCGACCATATTTCTTGGTGAAGGAATAATATCCAGGCACCCTTGATGCTAACTCTTGAAGTTGAGGATGCACTTTCACGAAGTTGACTCGGATGGTATTCCTACAAATGGAAGTCATGACCTACAAAACAGAACAAAGATAAATCCCTAAATCCTTGAAATGGTTAGTGAGAATGCTTATGATGTTATGATGCTTATGATGTCACAAATAATAATCGCAAAAAAAACACACCAAGATCTTAGGTTTAGGCTTGCATGGGTTTCATAGGTAAGTACCCTCTTGATGTTTAGTTGGCTCAACCTGTCCTAGAAAATAATCGTGTTCTAGAGGATCTCAATATCATTGATCTTTCTTCATTGGGCACTGTCTCAGTATAATCAATATTTTCTTGCGGCCGAAATATCCCAAAAGTCCGATCTCAATGAGTGCAGTATCGAGTATCAACTAATCTTCAGTTTT